CATAAGGATAAATGGTCTGTTAATGAATTGTTGACCATGTGTGCTCAAGAAGAAGAAATGTTACTGATGGAAGAAATGTAAAAAGAAAGGACACATGAAGAAAGACTGCCTGAAATTCAAGACTTGACTGGATAAAAAGGGTAATCTATTTGCTTTTGTTTGTTATGAATCTAATATGGTTGATATTAATCATGACACATGGTGGATTGATTTTGGTTCTACAATCCATGTTTGTAATACCTTGCAGGTTATGCAAAACTCAAGGAGGCCAGTAGGAAGTGAGCGATGCATTTACTCAGGGAGTAGGATGAGTTCGCATGTGGAGGCCGTTGGGACGTGCAGTTTAACTTTAAGTAGTAGTTTTATTTTGAATTTAGAAAAAACATTTTATTTTCCTAGTTTTTCTAAGAATTTGATTTCAATTTCAAGACTTGAACCTTTAGGTTTTTCGTTTAATTATTCAGACTCTAGTTTTATTTTATTGAATAATTCCTAAATTGTTGGTTTTCGCAAACTATGTGATGACCTTTATTTTATTACTTTGCAAAATAATGTCACTCATAATTCTATGCACTTTACTGCTGGGGTAAAACAATGTGTTGTGAATGAAGAATCCTCTATGTTGTGACATTAGAGATTGAGACACATTTCCATTGAGAGAATTAAGCTATTAGTAAATGAAAGAGTATTTAGTACTTTGGACTTTACTTATTTTGGGACTTGTATGGATTGCATTAAGGATAAGCAAACTAACAAGTCTAAAATTGGTGCCAAGAGGAGTTCACACTTATTGAAGATCATTCATACAGATATTTATTGTCCAGACATGGACGCAAGTAGTCTGAGATATTTTATCACCTTCATAGATGATTACTCACGATATATGTATCTCTACTTGCTTGATTCTAAAGATGAAGCATTGAATGCCTTTAAAGTTTTCAAGGCTGAAGTAGAGCTACAATGTGGAAAGAAAATTAAGATTGTGAGATCAGATCGAGGTGGAGAATACTATGGTAGATACACAGAGAAAAGACAAGCACCTGGTTCATTTGCGAAATTTTTTCAAGAACATGAGATTGTTGCCCAGTATACTATGTTTGGTTCTCCAGATCAGAATGGTGTGGCAAAAAGAAGGAATTAAACTTTGATGGATATGGTAAGAAGCTTGAGGAGCAATGCAAAGCTTCCTCAATTCTTGTAGATTGAAGCACTAAAGATGATTGTGTATATATTAAACAGAGTTTCAACTAAGACTGTCTCAAAGACACCTTTTGAATTGTTCAAAGGTTGGAAACCTAGTTTGCAACATATACGCGTTTAGGGATGTTCGTCTGAAGTGAGAATTTACAACCCACAAGAGAAGAAACTTGACCCTAGGACTGTTAGTGGGTATTTCATTGGATATGCTGAAAAATTCAAAAGGTATAAGTTTTATTGTCCATCTCATAGCACTAGAATTGTGGAATAAAGAAATGCAAAGTTTCTTGAAAATGATTTGATTAGTGGGAGTGACCTAATTCAAGACACTACTCTTGAAATAGATAATTATAAAGCTAAACCCTTTGAATCAAATGATAGATTGGTAGTCATTCATGCTCCTCCAGTTCAAGAGCGTATTAGACAACCAGTTATTCAAGTTTCACAAGCTGTTGAATACAATTTGGTAGATCAAGTTATTAACGAGGAGCCATAAGTGAATGTTGATCAACCTATTGAGGAAGTGGTTGAACAACAAGTTCCTCATCAAGATAATGAGACAACATTAAGAAGATATACTAGAGTCAAAAGGTCAGCAATTTGTAGTGACTTTGTGGTGTATTTACAAGAATCTGACTATAACATAGGAGCCGAAAATGATCCTGAAACGTTTTCACAAGCCATGAATTCTAGAGAATCGAATTTATGGTAGAATGTCATGAAAGATGAGATGGATTCTATGGCATTTAACAAAGTCTGGAATCTTGTTGAGTTGCCTGATGATATAAAAGTCATTGGATGTAGATGGGTCTTTAAAATCAAGAAAGATGCACAAGGCAACATTGAGAAACATAAGGCAAGACGTGTTGCCAAAGAGTTCACTCAAAGGGAAGGAATCGATTACAAGAAAATCTTTTCTCCTGTGTCTAAAAAGGATTCTCTTCAAGTGATTATGGCATTGGTAGCTCATTTTGACCTTGAGTTACATCAAATGGATGTGAAGACAACGTTCCTCAATGGTGATCTAGAGAAGAGGTTTACATGAAACAACCTGAAGGATTCTTCTCTAGTAATGGTGAGCATTTAGTCTGCAAGCTTAATAAATTTATATACGAATTAAAACAAGCCTCCCGTCAATGGTATCTAAAATTTCATGAAGTCATATCTTCATTTGGTTTTTAAGAAAACATCATGGATCAATGTATATACCTGAAGGTTAGTGGGAGTAAGATTTGTTTCCTTATTTTATACGTGGATGATATTTTGCTTGCGGCTAATGATAGGTGTATGCTATATGAAGTGAAATAATTTCTCTTAAAAAACTTTAATATGAAAGATATAGGTGAGACATCTTATGTCATAGACATTAAGATCCATAGAGAAAGATCTCGAGGCATTTATTAACAAGGTTTTAGAGAGGTTTAACATGAAAGATTGCTCACCAAGTGTAGCTCCCATTGTGAAGAGTGATAGGCTTGAATTGAATCAATGTCTGAAAAATGATCTTAAGCAGGAACACATGAAAAATATTCTATATGCTTCAGTTGTTGAAAGTCTTATGTATGCTCAGGTTTGCACCAGACCTGACATTGCATTTGCGGTTGGAGTTTTAGAAAGATATCAGAGTAATTCAGATGTTGACCATTGGAAAGCTGCAAAGAAAGTAATGAGATATCTTCAAGGAACAAAGGATTACATGCTTATGTATAGACAGACTGATGTTTTGGAAGTGATAGACTACTCTGACTCAGACTTTGCTAACTGCATTGATACCAGAAAATCTACATCTGGTTACATTTTCATGCTAGCTTATGGAGTTGTGTCTTGGAGCAGTGTGAAACAGACCTTGACTGCTACTTCTACTATGGAGGTTGAATTCGTTTCTTATTTTGAGGCTACCTCACATGGTGTTTGGTTAAAGAGTTTTATATCTGAGCTTAGAGTTGTGGACTTTGTATCTAGGCCATTGAGAGTGTACTGTGACAATTCTGCTATAGTATTTACGGCTAATAATAACAAAAGTGGAAGTCAAAGTAAACACATCGACATCAAATATTTAGCCATAAAAGAACGTATTAAGGAAAAGAAAGTGGTCATTGAGCACGTTAGTACTGAGTTGATGATTGCCGATCCTTTGACTAAAGGCATGCCACCAAAGAATTTTAAGGATCATGTAGCACGAATGGGACTTGGTTCCATGATGTGACAATCATTATGGATACATTTATTATTTTCTATGAGACTTTTATTCAGTCTTGATGTTTTCTCTTTCATTTTGTGCACACTTTTGTTTGTTTGAGAAATATCATTTAGTTTTGACCTTAAATAAACATTTGGTTTATTTATTAAGTTAAGAGCTAGTGTTGAGAGACTTGATATACTTTAATACATGGAAGATAATACTCACCATTAGAGGAACTGTCGCCATGATTCATATATCTAGTTTCTTATTGTGGTTGATAATGAGATTAATGGATCAAGTGGGAGAATGTTAGGAACCAACTTCCGTTTTTTTAGTTCCAATTTTAAAGAGATATTATGTGATCACATTGTCCCATTATCTGCATCTGTTTTTTTTTCACTCGGAGGTGATTTTACTGGATATTCAGAGTGGGCTCAATGATGGAAGAGCCCTATAAATATTTTGCTATCTCATTGTTTTAGGTCAATCTGAATCCGCTCCTCTTTTAGAACATACACACCATTGTGACTGAGTGAGTAAAGATTTAGAAAGGCCAAAAACTTCAATTGCAGATCAAACTGCAATAGCTGGAGGTTAGTATTAATCGATCCATTTTTGCTTCCGCATAGCTTTGATAAGAATAACTTTCATAGATGCCAGAACTATTTTGAAAAATCGCATAAGGGTGGAACTGGATTTGGAAGATGCTTTACACAAAGATTAATTAACATTTTTTTTCAGGTGGATTTATAATTTTTACATTAAAAAAAATCTTACATTTAACCTTGTTCCTCTCTGTTTTCATGTTGATGTGGGATGAAACTTATTCTAACAATTATTCTAGCTAGTAAGCCATCATTGTTCTCTTCATATACATTTTTACATGCGAACGAGATTATTTTCTCTTCCATTTGATTGCACAATGTATTTTATTTGCCAAAAAGGTTTGTAATCCAAATTTGTTACAGAAGAGAAGAAACGTGTGTAGGAGGAGATTAACTTTTCAATTGATTAACTAACATATGTAAAATGCAGCTAATAAAATGAAACACAAAATATGCGGTGAGCGTGGATCGAACACGCGACCTTCAGATCTTCAGTCTGACGCTCTCCCAACTGAGCTATCCCCGCATCACGTTTTGTTGCCAATAATATATTTGCACAATCTGCGTTGACGATTCAGTAAATTCACAAAAAGGTTGAATATGAAAGACCATATTCGACTTTTAATTCGCAAGACAAAAATTTGTTTCAATCATTATACTACTTTTGTTAGTCTTTTGAACTTCTTAATATTGCATTCTCTATTTCACAACTTACAATTAAGGGTTAATTTCTTAACTTCAAGCTAAGTCATCATTTTTTTTTGTCATTCAAACCGTATACGGAATGAGAACAAAGACTCTTCATTTGGATTTATACCAACGATGCAACCCATGACGAAATATCCCTCTACAAGTCTTTAAGAGTGGGGTTAAAAAATAAACAACATTATGAAGTTGAAGTTCCTTCAAATACTCTTTGTTGCACAAGTCTTGAAATAAGCACATCCATCGCATAATCTTCTAATAAATGAGAATGATTCATTGAACTAATTAATATTCTCTTCTCCAGGAACAGATCATAGTTTTTTCACCAGCAAATGTACTCCATGTTCAGGCTCTATCAAGGGCCTAAGTATAGGAGAATGAATGTATTTAGGAGAGAGGCAGAAAAAGAATTTGGACAAAATCCGAGATAACAACATCTTAAGTTCAATCATGGCCAAGTCCCTTCCAAGACACACTCTTGGTCCTATCCCAAAGGGCATGTACAAATGTGGCATCTTACAAGCACCTGTGATCCCATTGGCAAACCTTTCAGGGTTGAATTTGTAGGCATCATGTCCCCACACATTAGGATTTGTATGTGCAATCAAAACCATTGTCCAAATGTTAACACCCTTTGGGACATGAATGTTCCCAAACTTCATATCCTTGAAAGCTTCCCTTGACATCACAGCTACAGGGGGATATAGACGCAATGATTCATGAATAACCCTTGATAGCTGCCAAAACGAGTGCAAGTTAATCATTGTCATCATACATAAACTGCATACTTAATTATGTCTCTGTCTCTCAAAATATATTACATTTTGATTTTGGTCTTATAAGTTTTTTTTTTTTTTAATTCCTACACTGTAAAAATATTAGTTTGACTCTCTGGTTTGACATGTAACATCAAAATTGACACATGGTAATATTTAAATTAACCATATCATCATTGATCAATAATTATGAACTAAAATCAATAATATTAGAAAATTGTAAATAATAAAAACAAATCAATTAATAGACCAAAATCAAAATTAATATATTTTGAAAATAAAAACATTTAACTCAAATTATAGAGTTAGAAACTGTAGTACGTAATATGCCACGTAATGATCCAATCCATACCTGCTTCATCTTATGAAGCATACCATAATCTGGGATTTTACCCTCACAAATTTCCAGTGCTTCAGCACGAACACGATTTTGCCACTCTTGATTTGAGGCCAGTAACATGAGGCACCATGTAGCAACAACTGCAGTGGTCTCATATCCTGCCAGGTATATATTCTTGCAGTTATCAACAATGAAGCGTTCAGTGGCCTCCTGAGATAGATCCCTGTTCTCAGCACCCTCAAGAATCATTTGCAGTAGGTCATTCTCATTAGCAGTTTCCTTTCTCTTCTTCACCACTTGTAGTATACAATTTTTCACCTCTTTTTCTAATGCCCATGATTCTTTATTGCTCTTCGTTGGAATGTATCTATAACAGGCACGTTAAGGATAAATCATTAATTTACAACAACAAAAGTTTTATCACAGAGGTTAACTGCACGGATCATATAATATTATTGGACAAAAAACATTAAATTGACAAATGAAAAAAAAGGAAAATTAAAGATCTTTTGCTGGGATGTTTTATACCTCATGCCTGGGATCCCAGAGGAAAAGTTTTTCTTGGACATGATCTCTTGGAGAGCTGCGAGTTTTGAGAAAATTTCTTTTCCTTCGGAATAATTGCTTCCAAAGCATGCTTTTGAAATAACATCACCAGAGAATCTTCTTATGCCGTCATCAATTTTTATATCTGCAGTTCCACCTTCTGAATCTATTCTACTGCTCCACATATTTAGCAGAGAAATAGTAGGCTCACTAATTATGCTCATCATTCCCTTTCAAGAACATATATAAAAAAACATATTGCAAGTTATGAGGCTAATATAATTAATTATTCATGTAAGTACCAAAAAGTGCAAGATTGGAAGTTAAAAATGATACCTTAACCTTCTCCATGTATAGTTCTGGAGCTATGATCTTCCTTTGATTGGCCCATATAGTCCCATTTGAAGATATAACTCCATGACCAAGCAACGGCCCTTTTTCTTTCTGCTGATATTCAGGCTTCCCCAAGTCCAATGATGTGCATGTGGTGATATCTCTCACTATGTCAGGTTGTTCCAGATACAATATTTGTGTGTTTCCAAGGGAAAACATAAACACTTGACCTGTTTCAACAAAATATTAGAAGCATAGTATACAATTCTCAAATCAGTCATAGACTCAAAATTATTAGCTATTTTATCAAAAGGGTTATTTAGTTCACTTGCAAGCAAAATGAAAGAAAACAAAAAGTTACAGGTAATGTTGAGAGTCAAGGGCAACATGACATGATTCACAGGTTGATGAATAAACACACAAATTTCAAGAGAGTAAAGTTTGACGTCGAAGTCTTACCGAAAATTGCTTGTATTGAAGTCTATATATGTATCTACTGTGTTGTACAAAGTCCATTTTTGTATTGATTCTGATGAAATTGAACAACATGATACAGAAAATTTATATGTTGAACGTAACATACCATATTTCTGCCTCCATTTCTCAAAGAAAGGGAAGAGAATTGAAGCACAGTTATGAGAAGCATAAGGGTCTAGTTCAACGGGAGACTTTGCAACAGTATGTTGTCTATTTTTCTTTATCTCCGTTATATTTCCAAGTAGTAAAGTTGGTGTTGGACCATTGATACCTTGCTTCCTTAGCTTAGATCGAATTCTCTCTGGCTTCCTCACAAGGGTGTTGTATAACATAAACGATACAGTAAAGCCAATCAACAACACAAGTGATGGGAAAAACTGGGAATCAAAGTGGATTTGCATGGCCAGAGAACTCATTTTCAGTGTTGTTAAAGATATGATGTGTATATTTGTCTCCATACTCGGATTATCTTATTTATAACAAAAAAATATCACTATTGACCTGCAAATACGTTAATACTATCTTCAATGCATCCTGTGCTGACAGCTGCTAAGAATAAATTACACTTCCTACTTTAACTTTTTTTTTTTCCTAGTAGTTGACAAATGTTAAGTAATATAATATATCACCTTACCTCCATTGACTTTTTAACTGAAAAATGACACTAAATATTTTAAAAATTATTATTTATTAAAATTTATTAAACTATGACTGTGATACGTTAAATATGTAACTTTTTTTTTTCCTATTAGTTGTGGCTGCTACCCTTCAAGATTTTTTGAGTTTTGTGGGTGGAGCGAGAATTCAAGTTCTTTTCGTGAGATTAAAAATCAATCTCACCAATGAGGGTCTCATAACATTAGTTAATTTTGTTTAAGATTATGGTTTTTTCCATGATTTTAGTATATATTTTAGACTTTTTGCAATCGTGTGGGACAAAATGCACCGCTGAGTATCGGTGGATTTCATGTCTTGACCTTTATTATTTATTTTTCCTACTTCAATATAAAATGAATTTTCATTCAATTGGATTTGTCTTGTGGCACTGTATTTAAAGGATTAAATATTATTTACTTATCGGTTATCGGTTGTTTGGTAAGAGAGTTTTTAGGAGAGAAGAAAAATGTTATATTTTAAATAAGTATATTTAAAATTTATTTTTAAAAAAAATATAAATTAATATATTAATTATGAATTTATTATTATAAATAATATATAGTTCTTTTAATTTAAAATTAAAAAATTTGTCATTTTTCTTTCCTTCTAAAATATCTCTCCCAAACATAGTTTTAGATATTGTATGTCAATGAAATTTCGTAATTTTTTGTGATTGATACTTTTAATTCACTTCATAATAGAGTTGAATATGTTGCAAACCTCTCCATTAGAATTTATTGCCTTAAACATAGATGGATCTTCATTTAACAACCTTGGTCTAACAAGTTTTGATGGTGTAACAAGAGACCAATCTGAAAAGTGGCTTTTTGATTTTTCTGCTAGTATTGAAATATCTGAAATTCTGCAAGTAAAATTTACAGAACTATGTCATGATTTTAGACTTTGCTAGGAAGCTGGAGATAGGTAGTTTGCATGTTAGACTGCAAAAAAGCTACAAGGGTGATTAATTCTCGTGATAACCAGTATTACATGCATGGTTTTATATTTAGAAACATCAAGAATTTGTTAAACCTAAAACAGAGAAGTGTATATTCAACTTGTTTATAGGAAGACTAATGCCTCTGTGAATGTCATAATGCAACTTTTGGGTGATAGAAGAGATATTTTTATTTTGAAATATTAGTTTATTTTGTTAAAAAAAAACCTAAGCCTCAATTAATAGATTTATGAGATAAATTATATTTAAGATTACAAAGGACCAAACTCAATCTCCCAAATTTGACAAGGTTTTAAATTATCAAGTTTGCTAGTTATTTTATGATCTTTATCCCGTGACTGACTGCTTATGATTTCTATAAAAAAAATATAAATAATGCATAGTTATTGAATACTAATGGTTGTTTAACATATAGATTGTCTTTATAATTTGTAAACAAGTAATTTTGTTACCTCTGTTAAAAATATTTTAGTATAATTACAAAAAAAATATTTTAGTATAGATGTAATGGTGTTAAAAAAAAAATATTTTTAATAGTTGATTAAAATATGCCTTACGTTTATGAATTTGTTAAAAAAAGAAAAGAAAACTTAATAAGGAAAACTTAATAAGGAAGAAAATCACTAAAAACAATTTCCCTTACTCATGGTACAGACGTAACTGCTTTCTACTTTCTTTTTTGTTTTTTTGTTTTTTTGTTTTTTTTCATACGTAACTTCTTTCTTAAAATGTGCAATATTATCATTATATAATAATAGTGTAGAATCTTGACCAAAAAAGTAAATAATGGTATAGAATTAGTAAAATGATATTGTGAAGGGAAGTGAGTTGGATGATATTAATTTTGGGAGCTTAAAATCAATTACGCATGAAAGCCCAATAAGGGCCCATTAAGGCAAAACAGCGAGCGAAGAGGTGGTGTTTGATTTCGTTTCGTTTCTTTTCTCTTCCTTATTGACTTTTGACTCTAATCTAAACTACGCAAAGCAAGTAGCAAAAAAAGGGGAAATGGAAAAGGAAAAACGGTGGTTGAATATTTGGAAGTGGATTAGATGGAGGAAGTGATGAAACCGTGAAAGGGGTTAACAGAAGAAGAAGAATCGTTAACGATGGAGGCGGTGGCGGAGGGGTTATGGAGACTTGCAGAGTATCATGAGAAGAGAGGTGAAATAGGAAACGCAGTGAAGTGTCTCGAAGCCATTTGTCAGAGCCAAGTCTCCTTCTTCCCAATCGTTGAGGTCAAAACCCGCCTCCGCATTGCCACTCTCCTCCTCCACCATTCTCACAACGTCAACCACGCTAGGTCTCACCTCGAACGTTCTGTTAGTCTCTCTCTCTCTCTCTCTTCTCTATTTCAATTTCAATTTCAAATGTGAATTCCTCGGTTTGATAGTTTTTGTTTCTTTTTTCCAGCAATTGCTTTTGAAGTCTATTCCTTCTTGCTTCGAATTGAAGTGTCGAGCTTATAGCTTGCTTAGTCAGTGTTACCATCTCGTTGGAGCTATTGCGCCTCAGAAACAAGTCTTGTACAAGGGCCTCGAGCTTACTTCATCTGCAGGATATGCGTACGTTTTGCTGTCGCTTTCTCGTTTTTAGATCTTTGTTTATAGTTATAGGATTTAGCGCCTCTAGAGTGAGACGAGTGTTATTTCAAAGATGAAGTGTAGTTACCAACGGTTGATTTGAGATTTTAAACATTTCAAGGCTTGTTAGCAGAGCCTCTTGCCCTGCCACTTCTAATTTTTGTATTTCCAAGTTTGAAACGCTGGACATCCATGTTACAATATTTTCTAATAAATTGAATAAAAGTAGAGCTGTTTTCTTGTTAGCTATAAAAGGTTGAGTTCCTATATTTTTTAATAAATTGAATAAAAGTCAATATTTGGTAAAATAATATTTTTTTAGATAATCTAAATAAAATGGATTATCTTAAAATTAATTTTTACATAATATATTTAAATATTAAAGTTATTTTTTATAATTAATTCAATAATAATTAACTTCAAAATAATATATTTTCACAATTAATCTAAAATTCAAATGCACATCATAAAAAATATGTATTACTGTATTATATCAAGCTGGGTTGCTGAGATTAGCTATTTACTTAATGTAGATCCCATTTTTTTAAGTGTAACCTATTATTTTTAAAATTCTTATTTGAGTTGAAAATCTATTTATGAGCTCTTAATAGTAAAGTCTCTTAAATAAATTAAAAAAAAAACTAACCCAGACCCAAAAAATATAAAAAAACTTTATAATTTATCTGCGTGTTTAATAAGTTTACGATCTTAAAAATATTGTCATATAACTTTGATATAACAATAATTATGTAATTTTTTTATAGGATTAAACTTTTTAAAGATCTAAGTTTTTTATTGTTTAATTAAATTTGATTTTGAAAAAATCTTGCTAGATTTAGGCCTAAGGTTAATTAGGCTGTGTAGCATGGTCTTGCTAGACAATGTTACCATTTGAAGATTTAACTATAAAATTATAGATTTTTTAATTTATTTTCAAGACCTAATTAATTAAAAAAACTATAAATTAATTTAACCTAAAATAAAATATTACACCCACTTGAGAAAAATAGCTTAACAATTATTTAAATTTTATTAAGGAAAAAAATATAAATAATAATTTCCTCACTATATAAATATCAAATATAATTGATTTTTTAATTAAATATATTTGTAATTGCAAGTATGGTTAAATTTAGTATTAGTATTAAAAAAACCTTCTGTTAATTAAGTTTTTTATAATTCTTTTATGTAATTTATATTACTACATAGTGAGGCCACCAAACATATAGGTATTACATGTTTTTTTTTTTTGTTAAGATAGGTATTACATGTTAATGACTACTTTAGATATATTATAATATACATAATCTCTCTTATTTCTCGTAATTTTGAAGATATATTAGATATTTAGTTAAAATACGATATATATATATATATATATATATATATATTATAATACTAAGTATTTTTAAATAAAAAAATTAATAAAGTATATTTAATTTCTGTTTTAAAAATAAAATCTAGTAGTATTAAATTTTATTTTTAAAAACAAAACCCTAAACCCTAAACTATTTCTAAAACAGAAATCAAACGTCTCATAGATATAGTTTTCTGAGGATTTTCCCTTCTCTTTTGCCTCTCTCGTTTTATTCTCTCTCTTTTCATTTCAGTTTCTACTATACTTTTCTATTCTAACATGTCAGGTACTGTATTGTTACCTTCCGAATTGCGTCCGTTGGCCAAGAATGATGAAGCTTTTATTGCTGAAGCGAGTGGGTCTCTTTCTGGTATAGGCTTTCCTGTGTGTATCTTCAAGCAGGCCAGTTACCTTGTTCATGGATTCACTGATACTATTCTTGCCTCATATCTGCGCATTCTGGGCGATTTCAAAGATGACGTCAGATTAGAGAAAGTCTGTTTGTTGGGAGTTCACCATAACTTCTTCGACACATTTAGGAGTTGTGTCCCACAACAGTTCTATGAGTTTCTGCGATTTCTCGAGTAAAGAAGGGCGGATTACGCTTTACAACCTCTCGATTTGAAGGAAAAGATGGCCAAAGAGGGGGCAGGAACTTTCAGTTCCATTGACATGTGCTTTATTGTTTTATTCAAGACCCAAAAGGCTGAGCGCGCCAATAGAAAGACGGCCCTGCGAAAGGAAAAAAATGAAGAAATTGCCGAATTGGAGTTGAAGCTGGCTAGTCTCGGGACTGAGAGTGATGCAGGCCTCCATGGGGCCGACCTCGGCGACAGAAAGGCGGCTCTTCGAAAAGAAAATGATGAAGAAATTGTTGAATTGGAATTGAAGCTGTCTAGTCTTAAGGCTAAGCTTGATGCAGCCCTCGAGGCTGTGAATTTGGATTTCTTACCTGCCGGTTCTTTTCAGGATATGGATAAAGCCATTTTCAAAAGAGCATGCTGGGATGCTTATCTCGGTGAGTGCGCAAGGATGGGTAGTAATGCAATGCCTTCGAGTGAGGAAGTGTTAACTGATGCTGTCAAAGTTTACAGGTAGTGATGTCAAGAAGAGGAAAATCTTGGATCATATTGATGCTCCTGGTAACAGAGAGAATCTGATCAAGTATGCTAATGCTCACATTGACTACCTGGAAAGGCGCCATAATCAGCGTGAGGTAAAGCGTTTTCGAGGCCTCATAGCTATTATTGGGGATGAGGAGAAGGTAACTGCTATTAGTAGGGGTGGAGAGGAGGCAACTGGGGGACTGGCTGACAGGCTACCTAGTGAACCGGAGTATGCTTGTTCAGAGACCGGTGGTGTCAGCAACTAATATCCTTAACAAAGCCTCTTGCTCTATAAGGAAGATGTTAGGGCAACGGATAACAACCTATTCAACAAGCAAAACTATTTTTCGTTTTTAATTTGAGCACACGTTTTTAATTTGAGTCACTTCTATTAATTATGTCTTCACAAAATATTATCAAAATGATGAAAAGTTGGGCAATTCGCCTACATGATCCTATCGTTATTTTCATTTCTTTTCACCACATATGTTGGGTTAGTCCAAGAGGTACCACTTTTTGCATCGTCAGAATAAACTATTAATAATCACTGCCAACTTTTAATTTTAACCTTTTATTCATATTTTTATGATTAAAATTTAATATTTTCATAATCTTATATTATATACTATTCTCTCCGGATATGTTCCTTGTATATATGCATAATCAATTAACTAAGTTTAATAATTTTAAAAGTTGCATTTTCAACTCTCGTGATCCCCCGATACAGTAATAAAAATCTACCATTACAAACTGGGCAATTTAAAGATGCAAGCACTCACTAGTGGAACATACTTCAAAACATAAATTCAAACTGCATCCAGTAGTTGTTATTATTAACATGCTACACCAAGTTGCCATTAGTAGAAAACAAGGAGAAGACCATGAGCTAAAAGCTTATGTAATCTCCCCTTTTGTTCAAAGTAATAGTAATAATAATTGGCAAGTTATCTTTTAATATTTTCCCCTATAGGACCAAAAAGCACACATACCAGTCATCAGTTGCATTGCCTGTAAAACTCTGGTGTCAGGGGTGACTCTGATAAGTTTGTTATGCGGCCACAATGTCCAAAATTTAGTGTAGATATCATGAATGGTGGCGAAATTGATAATTTGTAGAAGTGTACAATACTTCTACGTTACCCCTAATTACTGCTACCCTGTTCAGTTGACAGTATCAACAATTGCTGAATTTTGCATCCAACACAAAAAATAATAATGCCATTTGCCAATTGGGTAGGAGCAATACTAACTAAAGGAACAATTTAATTTAAATTCTATTTTAAAGCTCTACACCTTACATTAAGAGATTTAACGAAAGTACAAAATTTAAATAGTATGAATAAATGTTTTAGAAGAAAAGTTGTTGTATTGATAGGAGATTCAGTAATTCTAAAAAGTAGTTATTTTCTGCAAATGTAAACTTTTTTTTATCTTTGATTGATTGCAACGTGCTCAAGTTTACGTTAGTAGAAAATATTTTTATTATAATTGAAAATAAGTTTTTTTATAGATTAGATTCTTTAAATAAGGATAAAGAAATCAGAAATAACAATGATGAAATTTGTGTACTTAAAATTTCAAAAGAGTTTCTCATTCTTAAAATAGATAATAGTATTATGCATTTAGTAGACTTTATATGTTCAAGTTTAATTAATAAATGTGTTGAATTTAAATTTTTTGAAGGGATAGCAATATTAGCACTTACTTTAGAAAGTGTTGAAAAAATAAATAAATTCATTCTCTCTTTGATGCCTAGAGAAGAAAGAAAATACCTAAGTTCTAATTCAATTTAGGAATTACAAACTACATATTAATTTTGAAGATAAGTGTTTGAATCATGCTCTTGAAGAATATAGATCAAGAAAATAGATTATATAATAAAATTAAACTGATTGTTAATCAATTAAAAAGAAATATAATAACATTCATTCTAAAATATTAGTGATAAAGTATTGTTCTTAAGAAAGAATTTAATTTCTTTAAATTGACAATTACCTTTTAAATTTTAAAGTTACTTTTGTTAAAAATATTTTAGTATAATTAAAAAATTTAGTATAAATGTAATGGTGTTAAAAAAACTTATTTTTAATAGTTGAATTTGTTAAAAAAAGAAACTTAATAAGAAAGAAAATCACTAAAAAAAATTCCCTTACCCATGATACAGACGTAACTACTTTCTACTTTCTTTTTTGTTTTTTTTTTTATACGTACCTACTTTCTTAAACTGTGCAATCTTATCATTATATAATAATGGTTTAGAATGATATTGTTTTTTGGAATAATGGAATAGAATTAGTAAAATGATATTGTGAAGGTACGGGAGTTGGATATGTTTTTGGGAGTTTAAAAAAATCTGTTAGGCGAGAAAGCCCAATAAGGGCCCGTTAAGGCAAAACCGCGAGCGAAGAGGTGGTGTTTGATTTCGTTTCATTTCTTTTCTTTTCCTTATTGACTTTTGACTCTAATATAATAAACTACACAAAGCAAGTAGCAAAAAAAGGGAAAAAGGAAAAACGGTGGTTGAATATTTGGAAGTGGATTAGATGGAGGGAGTGGTGAAACCGTGAAAGGGGTTAACAGAAGAAGAAGAAGAATCGTTAACGATGGAGGCGGTGGCGGAGGGGTTATGGGGACTTGCAGAGTATCATGAGAAGAGAGGTGAAATAGGGAAAGCAGTGAAGTGTCTCGAAGCCATTTGTCAGAGCCAAGTCTCCTTCTTCCCAATCGTTGAGGTCAAAACCCGCCTCCGCATTGCCACTCTCCTCCTCCACCATTCTCACAACGTCAACCACGCTAGGTCTCACCTCGAACGTTCTGTTAGTCTCTCTCTCTCTCTCTCTCTCTCTCTTCTCTATTTCAATTTCAATTTCAAATGTGAATTCCTCGGTTTGATAGTTTTTGTTTCTTTTTTCCAGCAATTGCTTTTGAAGTCTATTCCTTCTTGCTTCGAATTGAAGTGTCGAGCTTATAGCTTGCTTAGTCAGTGTTACCATCTCGTTGGAGCTATTGCGCCTCAGAAACAAGTCTTGTACAAGGGCCTCGAGCTTACTTCATCTGCAGGATATGAGTACGTTTTGCTGTCGCTTTCTCGTTTTTAGATCTTTGTTTATAGTTATAGGATTTAGCGCCTCTAGAGTGAGACGAGTGTGATTTCAAAGATGAAGTGTAGTTACCAACGGTTGATTTGAGATTTTAAACATTTCAAGGCTTGTTATGCATGTACTTGTTGTATAAATACATGTGCTATGGGTGCGTTTGGAAGATATTATAGAGAGGATACGAGAATAGTTTGTAACTTTGTAAGCTCTTGAGTTTATTTTAATAAGATTATTTGTATAGTTTATCAAAATAAGCTATTTTCAGCTTATGTTAATAAGTTTTGTAATTAAATTTATGGTATAAACTCTTTATGCTATAAGAGTTTATTGAATAAGCACTTAGGTAAGATTTTACCCTTACACCCTTTATCCATTCCTTTAGACAGCACTGCTTAGAGGAACCAACCCTTCAATTATGGAACTTCCTTTGTGTTGTGCTTTACAATTTGATGAGGCCTATGCGTTATTATTATTATTATCTGGTTTAGCTTTGGTCTTTTCAGGGTTTTGTTTTTGGACGTTTGTCTTTGTTTAGGGATTCTTTGGTTGTGTAGAAAACAGATATGGCTTCTTAGGCTTTAGTTCTGTGCTTGAATGAATAATTATAATATATTTTGATCTTTTTGGATTCCCTTTTTGGTGGTGTTGTTGTTGCATGGTTCTACCATAGTCATAAAATTTGTCTTAGATGGAAAGGGTGGAAGTACTATGATTGAATTGGATCAAAATTACAGTGAAGAATGTAGTGTTTATTGATGGAACAAGCAATATCTGAATTTGTATTGGAATGATACTGAAGAAGAGATTGTAAAACAGTATAGGACAGTAGAGGTGCAGAACATCCTGCTCTAGGTATTCCAGAGACCTTGGCTCTTGCTCCCAATCCCTACCCTCAGTCTAAAGGACTGATCACCATTGGTTCACTCCTATAATTTTTACTCTATCATAGCATATTGACTCTCCCACTCTAACTTTGAACCAATCTTTTCGAACCAACTAACTGTCCAATATTGGTCCACTATTTAGTTGGGGGTCTGCTAACGTAGTAGCTGTAGATAATAAATAGTAACATAGTCTATTTGTAACCCATAACAAGCTTGGTGCATATGATTTATGTATTCTCAGCTTAGAGGAGTGTAAAAACATAGCGTCTTAGAGTTGTTTGATATTAATTAACTATTAGGAAACAACCCCCCCCCCCCCCCCAACCACCAACACAAAAAAGAAAAGGTGATATGGTCAATTATTTATCTTTTATTTTCTAACTTGTTTTCAATAAATTGGATTGCATGCTACTTTTTCTGACTAATGGTGCCTGCTTCTACTACATATTCAAACTTTCTAGTTTATTTTCTTGAAGGATTTCAATGAAATTGTGGGCTTGCAACTTCAATTCACAGCTTGCAAATGCTTTATCAATTGAAGGAGACTACCGGGGTTCAATCTCTGCCTTAGAGTGTGGATATGTCTGTGCTACTGAAGTACGCTACCCGGAGTTGCAGGTATGTTTACAAAGGTTACAACTTACAAGAAAAGACATGTCCTTTGCTTCCTTCTCCACTCTTTGTCACCAATTCCTTAGTGAATTTGAACCACTAATAGGCACTTAGGTACAACCTTCTGGAAACTTGTTGTCTTGCACACCTGTTGTGTGTGTCAACTGTCAACCTTTAGTATGGTAAAATAAAGGGAACTCCATTTGTGCTGAGTTTATTATGATATTGCCCATCAGCTTTGTTTGTAATGTCTTGTTTAATCACAATGGAGCAGATGTTTTTCGCCACTTCAATATTGCATGTCCACCTCATGCAATGGGATGATGATAATTTGGTTGAGCAAGCTGTTAATAAATGCAACGAGATTTGGGAGTTAATTGGGCCCGATAAAGTGAGTGCACATGTTCTTTAGCTTCTTGAGTTTCTTTATGTAGACAATGTATAGTCATATAGACATTACTTGACTTCAACTGAAATGTACCATGAGATTCTTTTTTCCTTTGATCTAATTTATTTTCCCTCTTGCTTCCACACACTCCTCAGAGACGACAATGCCCTGGCTTACTCTTTTATAATGAATTACTGCACATATTCTATCGACTGCGGCTATGTGATTACAAGAATGCTGCACCCCATGTAGACAATCTTGATGCTGCCATGAAGGCTGATATGCAGCGAACACAACATATACAAGAGCTAGTGAAGGAGCTCAATGCTTTAGATCAAAGTCTCTCCCGATCTGACCTTCACTACAGGGATAGGGTAGCATTATCTGAAAAGCAAACAATGATTCAGGAGCAGCTGAAAAACATGAACGGATTGAGTTCAATTGGGCGGGAATCTCTGCAACCAGTATATTTTGGGAATGTTAGAAGGGCAATAGGAGATAAGCTTCAGTTAGCACCTCCTCCTATTGATGGTGAATGGCTTCCCAAAAGTGCCGTTTATGCATTAGTTGATCTAATAGTTGTTATATTTGGGCGTCCAAAAGGACTTTTTAAGGAGTGTGCAAAGCGCATACAATCTGGGATGCGAGTAATTCAAGGTTGTTGATCAACTTTTTTAGTTTGTGTAATTTTTTCTTCTTGTTTTGGGTTTAATCTCAATTAATTGCTTGGTTAATAGCAGCAAAATCACTAGATGGCAAGTACAGCTAATGCTTATTTTGAATACAAAATAATAATCGCTTGTTATGGTTTGTGAAACAAATTTGTATGAATTGGATGTCCAAAAAGCTCTGTGATAATCTTTAATGCTGTCTGAATCAAGCCTTTTTAACAACACTTTCACTGTCTTGTATATGTTTATGATCTCAGCTATAAAATGTCTTTTCTGTTGGTTTCTTGGCTTTAACGTGAAATGTATAAGAAGCATCATTCCTTTGAATTATTCATTGTGAAAGCATGGTTGATGAGTTGAGTTGTTTTTGTTATTCACTCAAATGGCTTTCCTTATTGCTGTTGTGCAATGCATCTGAGACTAACTTTGGGCTTATTTTCCTTAATAAATTAATATTTTTCCTGTTTCCTTCTCAAGATTGTAAATAATGCATTTTTGCAAATTTCTCAATTATAATGTTCATTAGTTGCCATACATAGGAGGTTTTTATCAGGCATGTATTGAAGTATTTAGGTCTAAATGTTAAAAAACGACTATATACATAAAATTAATCAATAATATTCAGCTTTTCATATTTTCAAGTTCTTCCCTGCAGATGAGTTAGTGAAGCTTGGGATTACTGATGGAGTCAGAGGTGAGATTTTTATTCTTATCTTGTTTATAAGATGCTAATGCTACCATGCAAACAAGGATTCCCTATGCAACTTTGTTGAACCTTCCCTTTTTTTAACAGAAGTGGATTTACAACACTCTTCTATATGGATGGCTGGTGTGTACTTAATGCTACTAGTTCAGTTTCTTGAAAACAAAGTAGCCATAGAGCTCACTCGAGCAGAATTTGTTGAAGCACAAGAGGTTTGTTATGTTCCTATTGTATATTTTGTCAACTCTAAGGATGAGAAGATGTGATAGCTTGCATTTTATTCCTTAAAATTTCAAATCACAATTAATAATCCATCTTAAAATTAAAAATTGCTTCTGGTGATATTTTTCTTGTACGTGTAGATTTAAAAATTGGCAGTTAATTTACATCCTGTTATGTTTCAGTATTGAAATCATTAATGATAATCACTGCAATTTTTCAGGCTTTGGTACAGATGAAAAATTTGTTCATGCGGTTTCCAACTATATTACAGGCATGTGAATGTATTATTGAGATGCTTAGAGGCCAATATGCACATTCTGTTGGCTGTTATCATGAAGCTGCTTTTCATTTTATCGAAGCTATGAAGGTATACGTTTGATGTGTCTATAATATGTGTGCAATTTTAGTAGTGGACACGCTGTAGTCTCTGCTGTTTTTGTAAGGCAATACACCCCTAAACTGATTTGGCATGCTGCATACCATATTAATGGTTTTCTGTGTTTAAACCTTGTTGTAAATTGTTGATGGGGATAACTTCACGGTATTCCAGAAATAACTACATATTTTTGTGTAGCTTACAGAGAGCAAATCAATGCAAGCTATGTGCCAAGTTTATGCAGCTGTCTCTTACATCTGCATTGGTGATGCTGAATCTTCTTCACAGGTGGAAAAGTACCTCTATTTGCGAATTAAGTTGGTGCTATATACTTTTTTCTTTCAAAGTAATTTAATCCCATGGACAATATTTTAACCGAATGATAGTTTGCCTGCAGGCACTTGATTTGATTGGGCCAGTTTATGGAGTTATGGATTCTTTTGTAGGAGTTAGAGAGAAAACAGGTGTTCTTTTTGCTTATGGTCTTTTATTGATGAAGCAACAGGATCTACAAGAAGCAAGGTAAGTTTTAATTTTTTATTTTTTTTTGTTCAAACAGGTTTATTTGTGTGTGAATGTCCAATTTATAATTTTATTTATACATCAGGATTTTTAGTCATTTATTTGATAATGAAATGTCATATTGAGTGCACTTATTGTTTATATAGCATATAATAAGTTAATTTTTTCTTTATTTAAAATTTACTTCTATACAACATTTCAAATATGAAAAATAGAACTACAGTTTAATATTTATTTAATTTATCATATTTAAGCTATGTATCCACATGAAAGAATATATTTTATCTTTGTTATTCATCAATATACTTTGTATAGTATTTAAGATCCCCTGTTGAACTTGACCCTTTCACTTCAATAATTTTTAAAATATGGAAACAAACAATAGAACAGTTGCTGTGCCTTCTGTTGGTTCTAAACATAAATGCAGAGACAAAATTTGGAAGGTTTAATTTTTATATAAAAAACCAGTATATGCTTCAGTTGGGTGTTTCTCCAAATGAATGTCATATAGTAGATTTGACTCTTGTATGGGCCTTAAAATTAAGTAATCTCCAGAATAGAACTTCACTTGCAGCTGAACCATTAACTCCATCAGCGTGTACAGTTTCTAGTTCTTTCTCCTTCCTCTAAGATGCAAATTTGTTGCAGAAATCGCTTAGCAAGGGGCTTGCAGCTGACACATACGTATTTGGGGAACCTTCAACTTGTTTCCCAATATTTGACAATCCTTGGCAGTTTAGCCCTTGCATTGCGTGACACTGTACAAGCCAGGGAGATATTGAGATCTTCTTTGACCTTGGCAAAGAAACTTTATGATATTCCTACACAGATTTGGGTGCTATCTGTTTTGACAGGTACTTCTATACAAGACTGCATAGTTTGTGAATGCAAAATATTTCCTATTATGACTTTTAAGTGCTCCCTAGTTAGACAGCCTCTGGAGTGTCTTGCCTGTCTTGTTGATTTGTTGTGCTTTTTCCTGGTTTGAAGATAAACCTTGTGTAAGAGTGGCTAGTGTGTGAGTGGGATTTTTCATCTGTACCAAAGCCTGAAAAATTGTGTAATTCTCAATGTGGCATTTTTCATCTGCTTGGAATATTTAATTAGTGTACAATGCTAAAAAATTCATCTGACCACGGGTAAAATTTTACTGGTGACAAGTCTTGATGTGATAGAAATGTTGTTTCCTTGTAAGCTGGCAGCAATGTTGTTAAATCGCGATTAAAATCGCAAGATCGTACGATCTTAAAATCTGTAACCTGCCCTGGGATCTTGATCGGAAGTAGGATCGCAAAACAACAAGATCGGATAAGATTCCAATTTTTCTCCTTAGGACCGTAGGATCGACGATCTGATCCAATCTTGGCACGTAAGTTTCTAGGTCAGTTTCTGGACTTGGTTTCTTGGTAAGGTTTTTGGGACTTGGGTTTCTGGGTCTAGTTTTTGTGACCTGGTTTTTAATTAGGGCATTTTTCACCCCATTTTGGAGTTCTCTCCCAACAACACTCAATCCTCCCGGTGCTGGAGAAGATGACATAGCCACTTTGGCGCCGCAAAGAATGGATAACTCGCGAGCCTTCTTCGTGCCTCTTCAAAAATGTTACTTGACAAGTGCTTTTGTCCTCGATTCACTTTATCTCCACCTTCTTCTTGCCCATTCTTCTTTGTGCCAAAACCATAGCTTTTTTTCTCTTGAGAATTTCTCTCTTTCTCTTTCTCTGATTTTTTTGCCTTTTTGTTACGGCTTAGCAGCAAAAATATCTTGTTCTCACAGGCCTCTTGGGTTCATTCACAAATTGACATGTATTCAATCACTTACTACTACTCTGACTAATTAATTGTCATTTCTTTTTTTAATAATATAATTTATTACCCGCAACAAAACATATTTAACCAATCTTTATATTAATTTATTCTAATTATTTTTTTATATTATAAAAATATTCTAACGAATTTTTAGAAACAATAAAATTTCAAAATATACCAATTTAATTAGTTTATTTTATAATTGAAAGTTTTTAAAATTGTCTTAAAAAAAATAATTAACTTTTACCGAATATACATTTTTAGAATCTATGATTTTTAAGTTATGTTTAATTAAAGTATGTAATTTAGATATTAATTTTTTTATGTATATTATTTTTTATGATTTTATATATATGTGTGTATGTGTGTTTAAGTATAGTTTTACATATTTAGTAAGATCTTATGATCTATTTTACAATCCCACGATTTATTATTTTTGACCCTCCTTTTGACCCTAAGTAAAATCCCAATTTTGACAACATTGGCTGGCAGGCATAAGTTCAAATTCTAGAAATAGTCTCTCCACTTGTGGGGTTAAGGTTTTGTTCATCTACACTCCCTAGATTGGTAGTGGGTCTCATGTATGGACTGCCCATTTATGTTGTGCTTTTTAGGTTTATCATCCTTAATTGTATGTATTCTCAATGTAAGATTTTTTTTTCTGAAAAAGGAAATTGAATACACTTCCTGCTCTTGCAGCTTTATATAAAGAATTAGGGGAAAGGGGAAACGAAATGGAGAATGCTGAGTATCAGACTAAAAAATTAGAAGATTTGCAGAGGAGACTCGCTGATGCACATGCATCCATTTATCATATTGAAATCGTAAGTTCATCTTGACAAAAAATCAGTATGCAGCATGTGTTTGAGTTTACAGTTGTTTATTGTTTGTGTATTTTGATTTACAGATTGACAAAGTAAGACTAGAAGTTCACCAATTACACGATTTGGACATTAAGCGTGCAATGGCAGGGCCGACTATGGGAGTCAATCTTGATATTCCAGAATCTATTGGTTTGTCAGCACCCTTGCCTGCTCCATCATCATCAAGGCTAGTTGATATAGACACGGGAAGACGTGGAAAAAGGAGAATTTAGTGTTTTCTTGTGCAGGAAAATCCATTATATTTCTTGTGAATTAATTACAGACAATTGCTCGGAAGTCCAAGCAGGTTGAAGAATTTAGCAGATAGGGTTTCCAGCTGACCACTTACCAGCAAAGTTTTCTATCATGTGCATCACTGTTAAAGATTATGTACAGTAAATATTATTCATAAGTTATACAGTAGAATAGATGATAGAACTCACCGGTTAACATTAGAATAGGCTTTTTGGTATTAAAAGAGAAAAAAAATGTAAAATAATTGTTGGAAGGCAGTTCTGTAGGATTTACTGTGTTTTATTCATCTGTTTATAGCATATCCTAATCCACGGAAATCAGTTTGCTTTCTCATTTAAAGATGTCAGTCATACTGGAAACCAATTGCAAAAGTTTTAGTGAAATAGAATTTCATGTATTATCTGGATGAAGTGTTTTATCCTTTCACAAAATTAAACCTTGAGATTGTATCATTCATGGTTGTGGTTGATCTACTTATTATTAGGAATTTAATTTTCTCCATGTCCTTTTGCTGTCCTTGTTCATGGCCATGGAGTATGGAGTCTCAAAAGCTTAGCATCGTCAAACTACCACACCTTGGCTTCAATTATCCATACTCACTCCATTTGGTATTTGGTGACACTACTTTTGACCTGCAATCAACTTGTGGGAAATACTACCTTGGTATGGAGTATCGGTTGCTTCCCGTCGCGAGCCTAAGGTTAATGACAAGAGTATTGAGGAATTCACTTACTGACCAAACGGAGATGAACTTTGGTGAGGGTGTTTTCAGGATCACCAAAGCAAAGGTCAAAATAAATTGAAATATAAAAAGTTTATCTTTTATTAAATTAAAATTACCTTGTATGAAACTCAATAAACTTATAAAACTACGACGTATTTGTATTGTGAAAGATAAGACAACGTTATCTTATGTTTGATGATGTGCTACCCAGTGATCAAGAGGATAAAGAATACTTTTACTAAGCTATATTTTATTTAAAATAAACTATATTTATCTAAATTAGTTGTGTTATTCTATTTTTTAAAAGAAATTGCATATAGAAATTAATAAAATTATAATAAGAATCTAGATTCTGTTATTAATGACAGGTTTAAAGAGAGTCTTAGATGCTCATGATAAATTTATATTTGTGTGTGCGCAATATAATTTTTTTATTCGAAGTAGTCATATTAGTACTTTCTTAAACCCTAAAAACATATACATGATATTCACTTTCGTAAACATAAAGCAAAAAAAAAAAAAAAAATCTAAAAAAAAAAAAGAAAAAGAAAAATTCTCTCCGTCGTTTTCAGAATTTTAAGAAATGGAATCCAACTACGTGTTTTCCGTAGTTCAGTCTTCTTGTGTATGTGTGCATTAGTTGAACTTGATTACAAAAGTCAGCACATGATTAATAAAAACGAATGAACTTGGCTCAGAGAAGAGGGAAGGGGGCAATTGCAAACCAAACAACAATTTCTCCTTCAAATTCAATAAACCGCATCACAAACACAGACCCCTTATTCTTCATCTCCAATTCCGTCAAACCCAAGAAAGTTCTTCGCTTTGCTTTTGACCCAGTTGCATAGAAGAAAGGGGAAAAAAATAGCTGCAAACTTTGGTGGGAAAATGCTGGCTGCTGCTGCTTCTGCTTCGAAGCACTTTCTTCAACGCGATGCCAGACCCAACATTGGTTCTTGCAGTGGCAATCGAATTCGCTCACTTTTAACTACTTCTCGCATCACCACTACCTACCCAATTCGCACTACAACATGTTACGGTTATGGAATCGTTTTAAATAACCGCCAACAAAGAACATGCCCAAGTTTGCTTTTTTCAATAAAGGGGTTTCTTTCTGATTCATCACCTTCTTCGAATTCACCATATGGCAGAGTTTCAAAACCTTACTTGCCACAACCTGTTCGTTAAAATGCCTAGCTTTTTTTTAAAGAATGATTGTGATTGGTTCAAATTCGATGGCTTTGATGCTGATTGTGGTTGTGAAATTGTGTGGAACAGAGTTCAACGTTAGATGGGCGAGCATTGTTCTCAACTTCTACTAAAATTGATGATGGAAGCCAGGACCAGAAGGTTGCTTCAACCGCTGCTAAATCACCTCCTCCTAGGGAGCAAGTTGCTGATATGAAGATCCTTCGTACACTTGCCAGTTACTTATGGATGAAAGACAATCTTGAGTTTCGGGTTCGGGTTATTGCTGCATTGGGTTTGCTTGTTGGGGCTAAGGTTAGTGGTCTGGTTGATTGTTATTCTTTGTGTTGTGGTGTGGTTGACTTGCTGATGCTGATTACTGACCCTTGTGATTGGCACTTGGTCTTTCAGGTTTTGAATGTTCAGGTCCCTTTCATGTTCAAGCTTGCGGTTGATTGGTTGACGGCTGCCACAGGCAATGCTGGTGCTATTGCGTCAAATTCAAGTGTGCTGGCTCTTTTTGCAACCCCTACGGCGATGTTGATTGGATATGGGATTGCTCGTTCAGGAGCTTCTGCTTTCAATGGTATTTATTGTAAAATTCAAAGTGATTGCTATGCTATTTGTTTTGTCTAACTGCTGAAGCTGGTCTTATGAGTGTGGCATTGGCTGGCTATACAATTTTAAATTCTAATAATTCCTCGGCCTCCCAAAGAAACACACTTGTTCAGGCTATGTTTATGCTAATTAGACCTATAATACATGAAAGACAATCTTTTGTTATATTTTAGATTTATACTTTTGAAGGAATGAAGTAAAATATTGATTAGCCAGTTTTGGAAATTTTAATTTTTAGTTCATATTAATTGTAAATAGTATTATTTTTTATATCCAGTTCAATTGGTTTAATCAGTGACTTACTAGTTGAACCAGTAGCCTATTGACCCGGCGGTTAACCAAGTTTATTACCAGTCTAAGTTTAGCAACAATGGTCCAAAACCAATAGTTGGGGGATGAAACTAGCTCTTGTTCACTTATTACTCTTTGATGTTGCTGCTAGTAGTAAGATGATTTGAGCTTGGCTAGGCTCAGGTGGCTCAATGATAATCTGTTCAGCTTAAGTTCAATAAAAATTAGCTCTTTTGTTTTTGGCTTAAGTTCAATTCAGTACAAGCTCATGAGCAGTTCAAGTCAATGGGCCTACCTCAAAATTCATATCAACACATAAATTCATGCTGAAGATATTAAAGTTCTAGCTATGCTCATTTACTAAACAGGCCAAAATTTCTAGCTTTTTCCTAGATCATGAGTTCTTGATTCTGGCTTATTGACCTGTTAGCAGGCCAAGCCTCGAATTGCTTGAGTCAGCTAGGCTCATTTCAAGTCCTAGCTGCCGGTGCCCCTCCATGAGGACATTTGCTTTAGACTCTTGATGTGGTTACTTTTATCTACATTTCTTTGAGAAGAGGTGTGGCTTTTCATGATTCATTATGTTAATTTTTTATTTTTTTAATAACTTGTGGCAGAACTGCGAACTGCTGTATTTTCTAAAGTAGCACTGCGAACAATTCGAGTAGTATCAAGGAAGGTAGGCTGGTTTCATGGTTTTGGAACATCTAATAACCCAAAAGGAAACTATTTTTAGTTCATCCTTTTTGTACTTTTTATTAATTTACATTGATTTTGAATTTGGCTTCTCTAAAATAAAAAGTGTACAAAGTGAGAAAGTAAGATTCCATCTCCCCTTGGTTTTATGAGTTAACTTTATGAGGTACTTTAATTCAAATAAAGGGTGAATACACCCTTACTTACTCACTTTACCCTTTTTTTCACTTTAGAAGAGTCAATTTCAGAGGTTTTAGATTAGATTCCTCTTTTAAACAGTTTCAGTGTTTTTTCCTTCTTTTACAAATTCTACTTTAGTTGGTTGTAAGATGTTAAGATACTCAATTTACACTAGTATCTGACTGTCACAGGTCTTCTCACATTTGCACGACCTTGACCTTCGATATCATCTCAGGTATGACTTCTTCATGTTGAGAGGGATAATATAATAATATATATGGGAATGTATCAAATGAGAGGGATTTGATATGTGAGTGAGAAAAGTAAATCTTAATTATCAGATATAATCATAAATGGTTAAAATTAAAGCTTCAAGTCATGTGACATTTTAAAGTAGTCATGTGACCATTAAACAATTTTTAATCTTGACCATTCATGTGGTTGTATGATCATGATTTAATCTTCATTCATGTAAGAAAAGTCCTCTCACTAGATATACCCTCATATGTGTGCACTTGCGTGCGAATGTCTTTATCTGTGTTTGTGTGTGTTGATACATATGCTAATATGCTACTACACTTTTACAAATCTGAATGGAGAATTGCATACAATGTATTTATTTGTGAGCTGGAGGCCTGTTGGGGCTTTTTCAGTAGACTCTACCTTAGAAAAAGAAAATAAGTAAACACCAGGGTTGACTAACATGGGAAACTTGTGGTCAGTGAAGAGACTTTGAATCCCTGAGGATTGATAATGGTATGTAGAAAGTTAAACAACCATCTGCATGAACCTTATCTCACCCTTCTTAATCATTATGTAAACCGATGCAATTCAACAGTTTGAACTGACATAGATTCTCATTACAAAGTCTTCACTTTGTACTATTTATTGTTGTTCATAGCTTACTTACCTTTTCTTTTGGGCTGACATAGATTCTCATTGTTTTAAATCAATGATCATGAGTCATGACTTAAATCCTCTGAGCCAATTCAAAAATGTTTGCTAGAATTGCAGTGAACCATCTGATTTAGGTTAATAAACCAAATAAAGTAGTTTTATTGTTTCCTTTTTTTATAAATTCAATTTTTGTTTTACTTTAGGATATTTGCTCCATGATTTGATAGACAACACTTAAAATGTTTGAGTTAGAAAATCCGAAGGAAATTATTATTGCACCTTGGAATGTTTTGAGGGTTTGTGTTGCTTTTATAGCAGTCTTTCATGAGTTATTTATAATAGTTTTCAAATAATCCTTTTTCTAGATCTCTGAGTTCTTTCAACAGTTACAGTTCTGGTTACATTAGTTTCATCTTAGCCTTTTCTTTTCTTCAAAATTTCATGAATATAATTAGTCAACACCTGATTGTTGTAAAGTGGCCTGTATTTAATTATGGACTTGGACCTATGGGTCTACCCGTGGAGATCCTATATTTTGATGTTGAAGAGTTTGTGATGGAAGCAGAACTGGGGCAATAGGATTTGAGTGATAAGCCACCACTATTGTAATTTTAATTTATCATGGTTAATTTCTTCACTTACGAACATCTACTTGTCATTAGGCCTGAAAGTAAAATTCTGTCAGTAACTGCCGATGTGAAATGTGTTATTCCTGCACAGGAGAACACTGCAGTTCTTTATTGAGGACTCTGAAAACTGATTTAAATGTAAATTTTTGTTAACTAAACTGCATTTTGAGTGTTTATCTATTGTTTCATTCATTGTGTATGCTTCTCACCTAGTTATTGTTTTTCCAGCCGAGAAACTGGTGCTTTAAGTAGAATAATTGATCGTGGTAGCCGTGCAATAAATTTTATCCTATCCTCTATGGTGTTCAATGTGGTACCAACCATATTAGAGGTATGCCTCAGTTTTTCCCTGTTACTTAGCTCAAGGAGGTATTCCCTCAGTGTCACTATTAAGCATAGATGTTTAGAAAGAACTACATTTTCACTTGTGGCTTCCTGGTGTCTTTGATTCTTCTTCAATGATATTTGAAAATTATTTTGTCATCCCAACTCTTGCTTCTTTTTTGCTTTTTTGGAACACCTTCAGCAGATTTAACATGTGTCCATCCAGATATCTATGGTATCAGGTATACTGGCCTACAAATTTGGAGCCCCTTTTGCATGGATTACTTCCCTATCAGTTGCTGCTTATGTTTCTTTTACACTGACAATCACACAGGTATCATGCCTTGGACTGATCTAAATATTTAATAAAGTTAAGCATGGAATAGTTTGGTATCCCTTGTATTGATTATTGGTCTTGTCAAGTATGTTAATGGTATAGTGGGTGCCATGTACATCATTTCATTTTCTGTACTTTCAGCCATTTGAATTGTGGAGGCTAAAATGCTCAGAATCCTTGAGCTCAAAGCTATCACTTTCCTTTTGTTCCTCCTAGTTTTTGGATAAGAGGGATGAAATTGGTTTCAGTGATAAATGGGAAACCTAAAAGGACCATTATACACCAAATGAAAGATAACTGCCTAATCATTTTCCCAAATCTGCTACTGGCTCAAAGAAGCCTCCTTAAAATAATGAGTCTTATGTCATGCTCCAACAAATTTCACCTAATATTAGTTTGGATTGGATTGCACATTGCCGTAATGTTTACTACTATCCAAACCACTTATTGACTTAATACACCACAGAAATTTTGCTTTTTTTTTTTTTTTTATACATATTAAAGTTTCTGTTCTCAGTAACAAATATTTTATTTGTTATTGATTGGCCAACTAAATGAATTAGGATAAATGGATTTTAGTATGATACAGTCAACTAGTTGGAAAATTCATTATAGATAGGGTTATAGCATTCATTTACTCTCATTTTTTCTTGTTTTTCCAGTGGAGGACTAAGTTCAGGAAGGCCATGAACAAGGCTGACAATGATGCTAGTACAAGGGTTATTGATTCACTTATTAATTATGAGGTGAGCATTTCAGTCACTAATGCCATATTTTAAATGTTATCTTCATTCCACTGTTTTGTCATCACTGTGAGATTGTGTTGTCTTAATCTTGTTTTACAGACTGTCAAATATTTCAATAATGAAGATTATGAAGCTGACAATTATGACAAGTACCTTAAGAGTAAGTAATTGATTATTCTGGTTAAATCAAGTTTGAATTATTTAGCAACTCCTAACTAGCATATTTGAAAAGCTTGGCTTTGTGTTTTAAATGACATGTTTCACAATAACATCATGGCTTAAACATATTTTCAGTCACTATTAAAATCTTATTGGTTTAGTCCATACATTTTGGTGTTTTCAAAATTTGAAAACTAACTCCTTGAAATTTTTTCTTCCCAAATCATTCTTCCTTTACACCCATCCTAGAATGACTGTTTTCTGCCTAGGTCAAACATGGCAATGCCATTGTGTATTGAATATTGCCAATGTGGTACACTAAAACCAAGGTGGATAATTACAGGACATATTATGTGGAAATGCTTCCCACTTAGAGGAAATGCTAAATCTTGAATTTATAACAACACCATCTCTTTGAGCTGCAGCCCATTTTCTCTCAATTCTCTTCACAGCTGATGATTCTTCACCACATTCTTCAAATTTTGCATTCATCCTCCAAATTGCTCAACACAATTCGAATAAGGATGGTGGTGATTTAGCATGAATCAAAGAGTGTTTAGGTACTTTTAAGTTGCAAATCTTTGACAGTATGAAGCTTGCAAACCAATCCTCTGAAAATGATATTGAGAAAAGCCAATGTTGGGAAAATATTGGAAATAAAATCTTGGCAAAAGTTAAAAACATGAATAAGACAATAGTTTCATACCACCAACATATTAATTCCCACACTTCCATTGCTTCTTCCATCTTTCACCCACACTCCATTGTTGTGCTTTGTATCAATTGAAGTGTGCAATAGGTTGCTCGTTTCTATCCCAAAAATTGGCTCCCTCATGCAAAAACCAAGATGCAATATTGAAATATGAAATTAAAAATAAATATATGCTAGTTGCAAGTGCATATTTTTGTGGTGTTTTTCTGATTTGCAGCGGCTTCTCTGTTATTCCCTTGCCCCTCTCTATTCCATTGTATGCTTTCCCATTACCTCCAATCCTCAATTTGGCAGCTTGTCTAATTTCATTTAAACTTATTCTCTAGGTTATTCTGTGTAATTGATGTTGCTTGTGTTGCTGTGATTTGTAATCTCATTTGTTCAGGGTATGAGGATGCTGCTCTGAAAACCCAACGTAGTCTTGCTTTGTTGAACTTTGGTCAAAATGTTATATTTAGTACAGCTCTTTCAACAGCAATGGTGCTGTGTTCTCATGGGATCATGAATGGCACAATGACTGTTGGGGATTTGGTAAGGTTTTGTCCAATTAAACTAGTATTATTTTGCCCGTATTATGTATGGAAAGATGGACCAAAAAACTAATAAATTTTTACTTATTTTATTTTTGTGTAAATTTTTAATGTAATTTATCATATGATATGTATGCATGACTGTGTGCATACATGTGTGTGTTATTATTGAATATAATATGAACAATATAAAATTTTAGGAGTTGAATGTGTTTTTGACTCAAGAATATAATATATTTTTGGAACTAGTACTTTTTTTTTATAGTCCTTATATTAAAAAAACAATATATTTTCAGTCTTTAATTAAGGTGTTTTTATGGACTAAAATTAAATGTTTTTATATTTCTTATGGACAAAAGGAAAAAAAAAAAAGTTAACCCCAGAAATCCTTAATTTTAGAGAAAAATATGTTTAACTAATTTTTTAATATTTAAAGGTTTAAATAATGGTAAAGAATCATATTGAAGATTTTTTTTTTCTTTATTTCTTATATTTAATTTTTTTTTCTTTCACTCAATTAGAAATGAATACTTTTTCTGATTCTTTCACCTAATCTAAACAGAATATTTTTTTATTATTTATTTATTTCAAAATATTAACATTATACAAACTGTTAAATAATATTAAAAAATCAAATCAAATTGAAGGAATTTTTCTTTTCATATTTTTATAATTTCATTATTTTTTAAATATAAAAAAAATAAAAATACATAATTTTGCTGAAAATAATTTATTTAAAATAATTTTTTAATAGAAAAAGTTAAATAATGGTTAAAAAATCAAATTGAAGAATCTCTTTCTATACTTTTTATCATTCAATTTAAAATGAAATCATTTGTTTCTAATTTTTTTTCAAATAATTTTTAAAAATTTACTCTTACCAGATTTTTTTAATTTATCTTTACTGTATTTGAACATAAATATTTTAATGTTATAATTTTTTAATGTAAAATAAGATTACAAAATTAATCGGACTAATGTTTGCATATTTTTATAATTTTTTAGTTTTGAACAATTTAAAAATGTAAAAATAAAATTAAATAAGAAATAAGAATTGAAAAGGGGAGATGTATTAGTAGTGTTTGCACAGTAGCACTGTGAAGGGGAGTAGAGCTTTTTTGTAAAATTTATAGGTTCTATTTTGAGGGTTGGGTAGCTTTGTTCAATGATGTGTGTTCCTTAATGTTTGTGTTTTGCTTTCACATAAGAATGATCCCTTATCCTCCCATCTCTTTGTAATTATCTTCTGTCTTAATGAATTTCTTCTTCTATTAAAATAGTTAAATAAGAGTAAAGAATTCTAGCTGTATTTAATCTAAGATTCAACATGCAGGTGATGGTGAATGGGCTTCTCTTCCAACTATCTCTTCCACTCAATTTCCTTGGTAGTGTTTATCGTGAGACTATACAGAGTCTAGTTGACATGAAGTCCATGTTTCAGTTACTTGAGGTATCTTCCCCATGGAATTTTAATAAATTATTTTGCAGTTAATTCTGAATCTATATTGTTGATTTTGAAATTTCTCTTTTCACCTCAGTGTGTTTCATATATGAGTTAAAAATATGGATTGCTATAAATTTTGGTAGCATGGATCACTGTGTAATTTCTTCTTATTTGAGTTGAGTTATTTGTTACTCAATTTTCTATTTAATATTCTCGCTGGTTTAGCTCTTTCTGATGATGAAATTTCCACTTTCTTGTGAGCTCCATGGAGTAATTGCAAAAGAAACATTCTCTGTTACTATGTTCATAATGTCTGTATTGTTGCCTCCATTTATTCTAAGATATGTTATTTAGGTATGTAATCATGTTTACCAAAATTTTCTCTACCTGCCTGATTCTGTGACGCTGTTTGTTTCCTTTTTCTACAATCATTACTGCAGGAAAGAGCAGACATTAGGGATAATGAAAATGCAAAGCCTCTGAGTTTCAATGGGGGGGAAATCCAATTTGAGAATGTACATTTTAGGTCTGTGATTTGCCTCTTTACTACATAATGTGTTACTATTCCTATAGATGGACTTTTGGCTGATATATGTGGTGATATTAATCGAGAGAGATGTGGTAAATATAATTGTTCTACGCTTCTACTGTTGTTGAGGTAGAAGTAGAACTGCACATAAAATAAAATTCATTAGGATGAAGAGGAGTTTGAGACATAAACTTGCAACCTACATTTGTAATGATTCTAATAAGCGCAATTAAGAAACAAAATACTTAGCTTTTGAGGATGCTTTGTATTTGCTAATGGATTAGTTAAGAAGGAACTTCTAATGATTAGGAATTAGAAATTCAATGGCCTCGAAAGAAAACACACCAAAACAAGCAAGAGTTCAGATACTTCTTTCTGCATTAGTAGAATGAGAATAATAAAGTAAATTAGAAGGGACCTTAACTCACTAGCTGCTTTATTGCTCAAGTTTCCACAAAAATTGAAATGTTCAACTAAAATGCTTGGAAATGAGTGAAGATTTTGAATGTGTATGCGTGAATCATGCAAAGTGGAGGTACGATATGATGGAGTAAAAATCAGTATAAATGAATTTAATCTTATATGATAATGATTCCTTTGGAATAATTTTTTATGTCTGCTATATATTTTTTGGTGTGTTTTATTGGACTGGAATGACCATGTTTTTTAAGGGTCTCGACTTGCTCCAACATTTGCTTTACCAGTTTATTTTCTTTCCCCACTAGCTTCTTTTTGGTCTCTCTTTATGGTTGTTTATTTCCAGGGAGTTTCCGTGTTTGTTAAGTAGATAGATTGATCAGCTAAATTCTTAATTCTTTTCTTTTTTTCCTTTTCTTGAATGTTCTATTTTAGAGGATGTCTTATTTCATTGTTGTACATCACTTGTTTTCCCCATAGTTAAATTCTTTTTCCATAAAAAAGATATTAAATGATAACAATTTGACATTTTTCATATTTATATTGATTTAGATCAGTAAATAATTTGAATAATGAAGATATTTTTCACTTATAACTATGGATTTTTTTCCATCATACCAGCATATTCAGTTTTTCTAGAAAATAAAAATAATAGATAAACCGGTGACATGGTGACACCTACTGTATAATAACTAGTAATTTTAGTTAACTCTTGCTAATAAGTTACAGAATAGGTGACATAGAAATTTGTATTTGATAAAATATAACAGTTGTACCTCTATTAGAAAGCTAACATGCTAATCAAATATAACTTGAGTTTTGACCAATATTCGAGTGATTGTATGTTGATGCATGCTATCTTCAGTTACCTCAAAGAAAGAAAGATACTGGATGGAATATCACTTGTTGTGCCGGCTGGTAAAAGTGTTGCAATTGTTGGAACTAGTGGAAGTGGTGAGGTTCAGCATGATTGTTTTTTATTATCTTAAATTATTTTACTTGCAAAGTCATTGTTGAATAATGGAAAACATTATTGCATCTGGGGGCCACCAATTGGGTATCAGGTGGAAGATTATGGGTTAAAACCTGTCCATGAACCACACCTCTCTGTAGGCCTTTTCTGCTAGTAGTTGGTGTGTGATGGTGCATCTCTGGCCATTTCAATAATTGACAGTTGTTCTAGACTTCTAGTATATGTTCTCAATTTGTTTATTATTTTGAGAACTTTTGCATTTTGTGTTAAAGTTTTGACTGCTAGTTTACTTAAATACAATCATAGTTAGTAGCTAGTCGGGAGAAATTTTCATATTTGCTGTATAGCCAACCTCATTTGAACACAATCTTCTTCTAAAACATGAATTGCCTTAGTATTCAAATTTAAATATGACCTGCTGCTATACTTTGAATACTCTTGTCTCTATACAAAAAAGGTTTGTAAACAAGTCCTTGAACAAAAATATATTTTTGAAATGGTCCCTACTGCTATGTCATATTTTACACATTTTTTCAATTTTGTCTCTATACATATGATAATTCTTCTTTTATTATTATTTTGATTCTTATAAATATTCTTCATTTTGGTCCCTATAAGATTTTTATTTTTTTTTAAATTGGTACTTATTTATGCTAGAACACAATGTAAAAGCAGATAAAATGTATAATTCAACAAAACAAAAAATATGCAGTCCACGATAATTGTACATGAAAATTTGGGCAAATTTGACCATGAATTTTTGGCCTATAAGATTAGTAGCAAAACTAAAGAAAAACCTTCCAAATCTCTTTCAAATAACAAAAAAAATTACTTGATAGTCAAGGTGAATCATAACAGATTATAATTAATGAATTATAGTTGATAAATAAATAAATATATATATATATATATATATATATATATATATATATATTTTCTATAATAATTACAAAAAAAATGATTTACTAGCTTAATTTGAATAAACTTATCAGGGCTTGAGGTGGCTATAGAAATTGTTACCAGAAGGTGATGTTTGATAAAAGTGTTTTGATTTTACTTTTAATGGAGGATAAAAGAAGAAAATATGAGTTAACTTTCCGGCGCTAAAGTGATTGATTTTCATTTTTAGTTGGAGAGCATAAGAAAACCTGTTCTTTAGTTCTGCTTTTTTATGTCTAGACTAATTTTGAAAAGAAAATGTCATGTATAGGGATCAAATCATCAAAATAAAAAAATATACTAGAAATAGAATTATAATGTGATATAATGATAGAGACCATTTCAAAAAAAATTTCTGTCTAGAGACTTGTTTACAAACTTTTTTCCTGTAGGAACCATATCGAAAATCGAGTTTCATATTGGGACCAAAAAAACATCTAAACATATTTCCAGCTTGTGAGTATTCTCTGTCCAATAATATATGTTCATATTTGACATGTTTCAAAATTTTATTTCTTGCAGGAAAATCAACCATTCTTAGATTGCTATTCAGGTTTTTTGATCCTCATTCTGGAAGTGTAAGAAATGAACCAATGAATCTTTTCTGTTGTGAGTTTAGGCCATGTTGCCATGATATATATGACATTTAGTTTATCTTATCTTGTTTAGATTCAGAGATGCATTATTCTTTAATGTGTGCTACATGGCTCTACCCGGGTGTTTATAAACTTCAATAAGCTAGATAAATTGAAACTAATTTGCGTTATTGGCTTATCTATGGTTACATTGAAAGTAATGAAGCTAAATGATGGTTGTCATTGATGAATTTATATTCCTTTATAACATAAAGAACATTATTGTAGTGTAATCCAGGAATAGCACACTACAGTTTACAAATCAATGATCATTGGCATGGATTTACATTAACAAAAAACGAATTTGCAAGCAGATTGTCTGTTTTTATTAAGTCTTTTGATAGAGCCCAATGCCATTTTTTGATCCATTATCCATATAATCAATCCTGCTATGTGACTAGTATAAAGCTTGATTGTTGTCTTTTATCATTAAGATGGCCATTGCTTTTCTATCACATTCTCATTCAACTTCTGCTTAGCAGATTAAAATAGATAATCAAGATATTCGAGAGGTAACCCTTGAAAGTTTGCGGAAGTCTATTGGCATTGTTCCACAAGATACTGTAAGTTGAACAAAGCGTCTATTTCATAATCTCATCAGTGCCTGAGCTAGATCTCGCATGTTGTGAAAACCTGAGTGACTATGGACAGGTACTTTTTAATGATACAATTTTTCATAACATTCACTATGGTCGACTCTCTGCAAGAAAGGAGGAGGTAACTTTTGTAATGTTATGCCTCTGCTTGAAATTTTGATTGTAAGGTTCCAAGTTGTTGTTAGCTTATGACTATATGCACACAGGTCTATGAAGCTGCTCGGCAAGCAGCAATTCATGACACTATCATGAATTTTCCTGATAAATATTCAACTGTAGTGGGAGAGCGAGGCCTCAAGGTGATAGGAATTCTCATTTATTTTTGATAATATGTTGCTCAGTATTGTGTTTTTGGGTGATTGTATGTTCAGGGTAAGAAGGGATATGAGATTGCAAATGTTAAATCACTGGAAGAGGCGTGCACAATGTAGATGTACTGAGAAATCCAATGTTATTTACTTATATAATGGCATGACAATTCAATTTAAAATGACCTGTATATATTAGGTAGTGTTATAGAACTTAGGAATACCAAGCAAAGAGTGAGATCAGAAAAAGAGAGTGAGGTTTCTATTATTGATGAATGTTGGTCAAGAAGTGGAAACGCCTCCAGAGTGTTGCGTGCCCCCTTAAACTCAAAGCGCAGTACAAACTAATTTACCCACAAAAATCTATTCCTCCCTTTGCAATTTTGTTATTTATCCTCTGTCACTAATAGAGATATCGAGGGTGACTCAAAAGAATCATAGACAAAGTTATTAAAAGAGATCTTTTTATTAACCAAATTTTTGAAAATTGGTTTTGAACTGAGCTTAATGACATCATATAATCCATATAGCCGACCTCACCTAGTGAGATAAGGCTTGATTGTTGTTGTATCCTTTGCCACTAACCATTTAACTTTCCTGCTAACTACTAATTGTTGTTTTTGTTCATTCTACTGTACATCTTCATATTTGTCTGCCTATTTCACTATTTATGTCCCTATCAGTGTGCAAAAAAAGTTCCTTAAAGTAGATTTAAAATGTGCTCTCTGGCTATGTTAGAATGATGATTTTCTCCTCTTTTTAACCACAGTAAAACAAAACACTGGGATTTTAGTTAAAATAACGATGTATATAGGGGAATGCTTTTTCATAGTTGTATAGATTTTTGTAAAGACTTGTGGTCAATCCTGACTGCAATTTTAAAAGATTAAATGACTAAATGTGTACTGCATATGCATCAAATGAATAAAAATTGTGGGGCTCAACTATACTATACATCAAATGTAATAATACAGATACTCTACTAGACTGAAAATTCATCAAACTTTTTTCTCAAGCTTTTTGGTCATTTGATAGAGCTCAACTATAAAACGTAAAACTATATGTAGTTGCAATGATTAACAGTGCATACTTGGTTCACTTCAATGTTGCATATAGCAATTAAAGTTGTGATTGAACAAACTTTGTTTGAAAACAAAATTTACATCTGAGTTGGCTATTTACATAAATTACATTCATTGTTATCCAAGATTATTTTCTCATGTTCAACATTATAAAACTAATTATAACAATTGAGACTCAATAATTTTTAAATAATATCCTTACATTATACTGCTATACTAATTCTACTTTACAATCTAAATCCATTATTGTACTTTAAATTCTTCGCTATCAATTCTTTCAACATATTTTATTAAATTCTGTAGTCTTAAGCTAAACAGACATGTTGGTCTGAAAGTTGTCGGTTTGCAACAGTTGTAACTTGATCAGAGCACCTACGCTTAACATTAAATAATCTTAACTTGCATGTGAGGAAAGAAGGGAACTCAGTCTCATACATAATGAACATCAGATTGCATTTTTTTGTTTTTTTTTACTTCAAGAAACATAATAACCAACCCAGTTGTTTGTCACTGATATACATTGCTGCTAGATTTGTTTCTGTCATCTTGTCAGGATACTTTGATCCATTGGTGAGTGATAGTTACCAAGGGAAATACAGTCCTGGGTACACTAATTATATGATGAGTTTTTTTTTTTCAAATGTAATGATGAGAATAAAATTTTACAATTACAAACTCTTAAATTTTTAAGTTATGAGAATTTTTTTGAACAGTTAAGTGGTGGTGAGAAGCAACGTGTTGCCCTAGCTCGTGCATTCTTGAAAGCTCCTGCAATATTGTGAGTATTCTAATCATACTATTTAGGATACACCTTTTCTATTGGGGTAGCAATATATCTTTTAATTTACAAAGTTCTGGTTGGAGTTGAATAATGATAAGCATTAAGAAACTTCATAAACTGATAAAAAAGAAATCAACAAATTTAGCTACTTTCTCCTCAAAGATGGAATCAGACCATCTAGTGAGTATGGTGTGATTGAATTACCTTTCACCATGGAAAAAAGAAATTACCTGTTAGAAAGTATATTAGATATGCCTATAGTCAGTTAAATAGCTCTCTAATTAATGGGCTAATTCATGATTTCATTTTCTTGTAATTATGACTAATTAATATTGTGCAAGATAAATACATGCATGTGTGGACTGATTAGGTACAGAATTCCTGCCATTCTCTTCATTTTAAGATGTTATTTTAGCTTCTATGATCAAGTAGTCAGGAGTTTGATCCTTTTAACTACACATGCCGGGGAGGGGGGAGGGGGGGATGCATTTTATTGAAGCAGAAAGCTTGCATTGTTAAGAATATCTATTTTCCCCTACACTTGCTTTGCGATAGGAATGTGTAACACATGTTGATATAGTGTTCAGCTCATGTCTGTTTCAAGGGGATTGTGACATTGTCTTTATGTTTTTGGCCTTCTTTTTCTTTTCACCTGTAGGATGATTCCTAATACTCTTATGCTCTATATGGTGTACTTACAAGGAGGATAGAATAGGAAAAGGCAAACTTATTAGCGATGTTTCTGTATCTTTTCTTGTGAATCTTAATGTTTAATTTCTCATACTAAGCCCATTTTCAATTCTAACTTAATTTCAAATTTTATAAATAACCATGGGAAGCCGGGGAGATAGAATTGAACAAGTTTATACAATATTGCTTTTATACTATAAATACCAATTTGATAATATATGTAGGAATATAAAATATTGTTTTGCGTGTGCGGCTATGTTGTATAACTGTTGTATAATATATCCTATTCCAGCGCTCACGTTTTTGAGATACAGGAAGGCAATATAGAATAGGTAAATGTTTGTCCAGTTTATTTTAATTGCTTGCACTGCCCTTGTCTTGTCACTCTTAGGTTGTGTGATGAAGCTACAAGTGCTCTTGACAGCACAACGGAAGCAGAGATTTTAAATGCATTAAAGTCACTAGCAAATAATCGAACTTCTGTGTTCATTGCGCACAGGCTTACTACTGCAATGCAGTGTGATGAGGTAAACTCTAACTAGGTTGATGTCCTTAAACAGTACCGAGTTTCTAGATTTTATATAAATGTTCGAATGTGTAGCTTTTATGTACAAATTTTATGATCTTCGTTGCAAATTTTATATAAGTTTGCTTACATAGATTGTACCAGAACACAGCCAACTGATTTTGTTTCATAGTTGTAATCTATATGTTGGAGTTGGAGATGTCTTTACAGTAAGCCAAGACACTAAGGAAAAGCAAATTTTGTAACAGTAGATTTATGATGAACCCAGAAACTCATCCTTACCATAATTAACATTTTATATATTACTTAGTATGTATATTCTCTTTTGACATTACATTACTAATGTTCAAATATTTTTTGCCAATGTTTCAGATCATTGTATTGGAAAATGGAAAGGTGGTTGAGCAAGGACCCCATGAAGTACTCTTAGCAAATGCAGGAAGATATGCCCAATTGTGGGGACAGCAAAATAACACAGTCGATGCAATTGATACAGCCATCAAACTGGGAGCATCAAAATAATAGAAGGCTTTTCCTTTCTCTTGGTGGTAAAAAAATGCATAACACAATGTTAATAGTGCATGTGTTTAATCACAATTTTGAAGTTTAGTGATTCCTATGCAGTCAGTTATAAGCTCCCTTTAGTCACTGTATTATATTTTATATTGTTTGGTAGACCAATTAATGCGTAGACCATATATGTGGAGCCATGCAGCAGGGAAGATCAACTGGCTTTGATGGGGGGTTAATTTTGAAAAATTTCTTTGAACCACACGTAAAAGTTATCGGTGTTCGAAGGCTACAATGCGACACACACACATCACTCCAAAATGAATGAGGCCGGATGAGCTTTGTCGGACAGAAAATGTTTCTATTATTGGAATTGATTTATAGATTGTGGGGTATGTATTGCATAAATTAAGTGCAAGTTTGGTTATTCAGGGCATAGATTCATGTTTACTTCAACGCCATTTTTGTCTTGAATTCATGTTTACTGGCTTTTTAACATAAATTTAAATACGCAGTAAAGCACTTTTAATTAAGCGCTTCTTTGTACATTTAATTAGTGGCCGGTAACAGTAACTGCTTTACTTTTAATTATCCAGTAACATTAATGCTTATTTAACATCTTATTACATTATATCACTCCTTACATCTATTTTGGATCTTTCTTATTTTGTTCTCTCTCAAGATAACGTTGTCTTCAAAACATTTCTTAAAATTAAAGGAAAAATCATTGTTATTGCTTGATATATATATATAAGGCATTCTAGGCATTTTTTATTTTTGAGTTACAATTTAATTTTTTAAATTATTTGATTTTTAATTTAATTTTTATTATTTTATTAAATTAATCAACAATTTTTTTATAATTTTATTCTTAATGATTATTGTGTTTAGTTAAATATATTTTTCTAATGCCCATATTTTTTAATAATTCATATTAATATAATAAATGAAGATATAATAAAAATTAGAATAATATTTTTAATTCTTGTATAAGATTTAAAATGATAAAATTAAATGTAATAATATATTAATATTAAATTATCATTAATATATTACATTTATATATAAATGTAATATTTTTATATAATTTTTATTTCAAATAAACATTCATTTACTTTAAATAATGATAAAATTTTAGTTTTCAATATCAACTCTCCAATTAAAGTTGATTGAATGAATAATTAAAAATTAACATCTATATGCAAAGTTTTTCTAATAAATTTTTCAGACAACATTTTTTAAATTATATCTTAAAATATTTTTAAATTCATTATTTTTTTTAATATCCTTTTATATTTCAACAATTTTATAAAACTAAAATATTTAACTTTTTTAATAATATGATCACATAAAAACTCTACTACTTAAATTAATTATTAGTAGAAATTAAGTAATAGTAAAGATAAATCCTAAACATTTTTTATGAATTAAGAAATAAAATATAAAAAAATTATAAAAATTAAAAGTAAACTTCAGTAATTTAGAATTATTAAAAACATTTAATTCCATCCCTTCTTGAGGCCGGCAAAACATTGTCACTCATTCTAGGGCATTTGAAAAATGAAAGAGAGACAAGTCAATGTGTGCAGAAGACATAAATGCTCCCCAACCAAACACTCGAGTACCGTAATAAAATTTAAGTGAATAACATGCACACATTCTTTGCTATTTGCTATATTTACTAAAATTTATTAAAAGTTATGAAAGTATATAAAAGAAGTATTAATTTAACAATAAAAGAATAAAACTTATATAATTTTTATAGTTTTTAATAAATTTTATTCAATAATAAATAATGTATTAAAGAATATATTTCCAGCTATCGACTATGCTGAAATGGCACATTGGCTTGACAGTGGAACAATAGCTCTGATAACAACTACAAAGTCTTCTGCACTTTGTTGGCCAACCAGGATCAGCAGCCAAAAAACTAGAAGATCTAAATTGTATGCAACTTCTGAACGGTGAAACTTCAACGCCAAACCTCGCCAATGTAATACACAATCAGATTACTCAACCAACAGCTCAAGCATCTAGCAGCACAAAGCCTAGAAGCTGTAAACTTTCAGCAACTTTTGAATACAACAATTTCAAACCTCTTAAGACAATGTTTCAGAAACGCAGATTACCCATGAATTGGAATCAGCAACAGCTCAAATAGATCATGCAGTTACACAACTGTGTGCTTTTAAACTTTCAGCAACTTTTGAATGATGACACCCCTTCACCAGAACTAATCCTAGAAGCTTAAGAATTTGAAAAACTTTCCAATGATGAGACATATGGGTGTACAAGATTCAAACTATCCCACAATTCTGTCTGGGTTCTATGTTAATTTTGACAAGTTTGAGTTTTTAAAATTAAACCTGCTATATTTTGAGAATTGACTCAAGATATAGTTCAGATTGTCCCGACGCCCTTCTTTATTTAAAACGTTTATTTTTTAAGCAATTATGTATTAATAATAGCATTTTATGATTTAATAGATAATAATATATATATATATATATATATATATATATATATCATGATATCATATTTATATTGATATTATTTGTTTTAAAATAGTGTGAAATATTCTTTAATTTTAATTTTATATTTCATTTATTCTATGATTTAATTATACATAATATTAAGATTAATATATTCAATTTATAAGTTGGGTTGACTCGATCCTGTTATCAGGTGTTGATAAAGTTGAATTCTGAGTCCAGAAAAATGGTGTGAAAATTTTAGGTCAAAGTAAAGACAGATATAAACCTATCCCAACCCTTCCCCCTCTAACGAGACTGATCCAATCCTAAACCTACTTCAAAATTTTGGAAAAACGGATAAACCAACCAAAGCGGTAGAATTACCTATAATAGTAACAGCCATGAGACTAGAGGATGAACAAATTATGCTAATTGTTAACAGTGGAACTTCGCTGGCACCAAACACAGCCCCATGGTATCAACAATGCTCTTCCTGGCACCAGTGCCCCACAAAACAGAAACACCAACCCCATTGCTAACAGTGTTATGACATCACTGAAGGTCTTTCTTATATGGGAAAAAAGGCTCAATGTAGAAGATGGTTGGGATACTTGTGCTGCTGCTGCTCTTTTGAACAGTATCTGTTCTTACCGTAACAAAAGGAAACTAACAAAGGACTAAGAAGCCTATGGTTTCATTTTTTCACCAAATGAAAATGCCTCATATCATCAACAAAACAGTGAGGTGCAATTAGGTGGTAAAAGACAGAACAACAACTATTCTGGGATACAGCACTTTACCAATATACATGCAACTTCAAGTTTTAAGGACGGTGCAAGTTCCAGCCACGGGAGAGTCTTGCCAACACGTGTGATCTGAGGATCTAAACCTGAGCTCCAACTTTTCCCATGCCTAATTCAGAAAATCCCATGTATAGCTTTATTAACACAACCATGCATATTGTTTCAAATATGACGGTGTTGGCAGAGTTAATGATGGGAAACAACCCTTCACAATCTGCAAACTTTTCAAGATGGGCTAATCCAAACAACTCTTTGTACGCTGTGGACAGTCCCCAATATCAGCATAAGGGGTTTCCGTGACTTGTTGAGTCCAAGCCAAACACAAGTATTCAACAATGAGCAAGTAATGAACCAAATGGAGCTTGGCCTTCTAGTTACAGTTATGTAGAGGAGACATGGGTGAGAAAACGTGATCATAACCTGAAGCAACAACAACATCAAGGGATAGGTGACTGGAATTGACAACGGGAAGAGGACGAAGACAATGAATTCGACTTTTGGGATTATGATGTTGACCAGCTAAATTCGGAGCTTCAACTGAGTTTGATAGATGATAACTCAAAACCAAATTGATTTTGTTAACAGTTTTAAATTCTCTGCATCTTGTAGTCTCCAAATTTGCTTGCTTAATTGTGTGTATGGAAAGCTTAAGACGGTTTGAGTGGGAACATCAAGTTTGGTTAGCCTAAACAACGAAGCTTTGTGTTATCTTGTTGCTTAATGGAATAACCGTGTCCGTCTTAATCAGAGTCATAGTGATAATTTTTTTATACAAGTCAATCATGTGCTGGTTATAATATTTAAAGAGCTATACTTTTAAAACTTATATTGTGAAATTAATTATATAATAATATCACATGATTCAATGATAATCTAAAACTGAATTAGGAAGGGAACCGTACTAGATATTATACATAGTCAAGAAAAGGAGAAGATGAAAAGCACATTGCCATAGCATAGAAACAAAGCAAGGTTTTTAATATGTCCAATATGTTCATGGATGCACACACATCATCAAAGAAAGATTTAGGTTTTGCCCTTCTTGTAAACCCCAAACCCATATTCTCCCACTGATTATTTAAGCTCCCATTAATAATAAAGTCGGTGACTTCTTAAGAAGGAAGCGCCATTAAAAGACTAGGTGCTTGAGAGGTTAGGGTGCACACCAGACAGAAAGTATAATCCTTGTGACTTCCACCTCAGCGTTGAAATAAATCAGAAGCCGTGCCCCTTTTACGATCACAATCATCATTATTTTGTCTTCTGCCATCCTCCCAAGTTGATTCTACATCCTCCAATGATAATTACATTTTAGAGATTATAATTAAGTTTGATAGAAATTTAGAGACTGAAAAATAACAAAAATATGTCAAATTATTAACTTTGAACTTCAATATTCAATTTAAACAAATAATAGTAATTTTCAATTAAAAAAAATACTTATCACACTTTATAACTTTAATTAATCAACATTATATTCTAATAAAACTTAACAATACTTTAAGATACTTAGATCTAAAGTTAATAAAGCTTAAAAAATAATTATTATATCAAGAATCTAAAGACCTTTTTGATAAAAAAAAAAAAAAAAAAAAAAACATTTGTTTTAAAATACTTAAAATAAACTTAAAAATGAATGTTAACAAAAATGGATAAAATAAAATAGTTTGATAAGAGTATATAACATCAATGACAAAGACAGCTCAAAAACACTAGTTGAAAGTTAGAAATATACTACTAAAATCAAAGGACCACCCTCTAAATGCACAAATACTCTATTCCCTTTTTACCAGATCAATACATCTCTGATTGCCCTGGCCCTGGACCACACTACCACAGGTGAAACCCCACACTTGTGTATTTAATGTACTGGCACTTGGACTGAGAGTGGTGTCACCATCCTCAAGTTTTCTTCGTGGAAAACGAGAAGTTGGGCCAAGTTAGATTCATCAACAGAGACAAAATCTTGAGAAAATAAGATATATCCAGAAATTATTATCAGTGAAAACGTATGAATGGTCAGGGGAAAGAACATGTGACTCCAGAAAAACAAGTTAACCTTTCTTTCTTCTTTAAAGTTGACTCATTCCTATTCTGACTAAATAGTATAAACCCTGTGCTTTTTAATGGTGCCAATGAAAGACTTAACTAAAGGACAAAACACAATCACACACACACATGGATATTAATCACTTCAAAGGGTGAATGTAAGATAAGACCATTCACAGTGTCACTTTCTGAATCTATCAG